CTTCATCAAGTATTTAGGAACAACTATCATTCAAAGGGGGTATATTGAAAGTACCCACATTGTTTGTGTTCTCAGGTATGTCAGGACCGATCTCTATCCCTCTTATCTCCCTGAAATTTTGCCTTCCCCTTTTCCTATTCCTCACCAGAACCCTCTTAGAACTTAACAAGTTCTTCCACCTATATATATATAGTTCGTGGCTCTCCAATGAAGCTCTTCCACGGATAAAGCCAACTTCTTGTATAAATTATATAAGAAGGAACCCAACTTCAAAGCTGTTAACATCTAATGCAAAGCGATCTCCTCGACCAGATTAGAAATTTCAAAAGCAACTTTTCAAACCTATACATTAAGGCCTTGAGAGATTCATCCTTACCTTGTTTGATGTTGATAAGGGCAACCTAAGTCATAACAAGAGAGCCAAACTGTGTGGTAAACTTAGAGACGAGCACTCAGAAAGAATTGATTAAATAGGGAGATCAATTAACCACCTTAGATCTGCTACTTTTAGAGAGGTGGAAAATAGTCAACACATGACGACATCCGTGTTGGTGAGCATGCTAACTTGAAAAACATACAAGTTAATGTGATTGTTGGGATCAAAGGTCCTATCATACTTGTCAAGCCCCAAATTCTTCCATCCCCTTAGAAGGGAAACCTCCATGATGTCATTAGTGAATGGGTGCTTCTAAAACTTTTTAAAGAACAACAACAAAATAAGGTGTTGATGTCCCAATTTGCCGTGAGATGGATGTTGAAGCTGTGGTTTGCCTGGATGTTTGAGAAAGTTGAATCTTTATGGATGGTGGAAGTTGAGTTGACGACATTCGTGAAGAAAGGATGGAATCCTTTGAAAAGTCAAAAGAATTTGGCTACCTTGTAAGGTCATAATCAAGGGGTTTCATATTTGCCTGCGATTACTTGATCAGTTACCATAACTTGGTATTTTGTTGTCAAAGGAGAGTCATTTCCTCTTCGTGTTGCTTCTATTGCTGTTCACTTTTTGTTTTCCATTGATGTAGTTCTTGTTGCAACTCTATCAACATTTGAGTGTTGTCCAACATTCCATAATTCCTGCTTGGTGATCCTCATGTTCCAACCATTGTCTTAATTTAATAGAGTTCATACGAAAAAATTTTCTACATCCCACGATGGAGCCAAATGTTTTTGTCAAAAAATAGATGCAAGAAGTCTTCAGTTGAAGGTCTTCTATCCTCGACTTCTCAATCCTCAACCTCTAGGTATCAGGATGGTTTGTACCTGTAAAAAGGACTCTAATACCAAAATTAGCAAGTAATCAAAGTGATTGAGTGTATTGTGTATATGTTACATACTTCATGAAGGTTTGATGCATGTATATTTATATGTAAAGCAATGTTATCAATGAAGATTTGGTTATTAAGTGTATTCAAGAGTCTTTAATGCCTTATAATGACCAAATGTTACTCTTTGCAATGATTACAAGGGCATGGTCAGGTTGAATAGTTTCTGACCATACAAATTATTATCTGGTATCATTTTGGGGTCGATAACCAATCACATATTAGATCATTCAAGTACTTTCCTATAAACAAGGTCGACCATATCTCGACCTCTCAGACACAATAAAATATACTATTTCATAAACTAATTTCATAGAACTTTCCAATGATATAAAATTTTTAAAATATTATTTTTCATTTTAAAAAACATTTTATAATCTAAATGGTTCTTCAAAGCTAACCAATAAAATTATATTTTAACAAGTTTCATCAAAAATTATTTTGATTAATTTCTTAACAAATTAATTTTAAAGTGTTTTATTAAAATTATTTTGTAGAGTATTTATTACTAAGCTATTTTTTTTTTTACTTATTTACATTTAGGGGGGTGTATTGGATAAGGATTTTAAAGGACTTTTTTAGTTAAAAAAAATCCTGTGGATTTTAAAAGACTTTGCAGGATTTTCATGACTTTTAAGATTTTGCAGGATTCTACAAGACTTAAAATCAGGATTTTAATGGATTCTGAAAGACTTTTAAATCAGGATTTTAATGGATTCTGTGGGATTTTGTGGATTTTGTAGAATTTTCGTGGATTTTTTACATTTGATAAGATTTCAAAAAAAAATTTCATACATTCAAATTTAAGAAGAGTCAAAGACAAAAATAATAAAAAAACAATAATGTCTACATAAATAATAATAATAATAATAATTCTCCATAATATTTTATCCTCTTAAAAGCATTCACCCACATATATATTCATAGCTATACTAGTCCTCCAAGCATTAGCATCTTTTCGCTCTTGCTCATGGGTTTGAATAATAGGCTCAAAAGTATAATTTTCATTAACGGGTAACATTGAAGATGAAGGTTCATCTACCGCTTTAATTGAAAATTCATCGAAATGACATTCTTTACGTAGAAAGTTATATAGTGTTGCACATACTAACATAAGTTCTACTTGTGTCTTAAATAAAAATGGAGGTGCTGACTTAAAAATTGTGAACCTTGATTTAAAAATACCAAATATTCTCTCAATCACATTCCTTAAAGACGCATGACGAAGATTGAACAATTCTTTCTCATTTTCAGGGTCATTACCCTGACCTGCAAAATCTTGTAGATGATATCTTACACATCGAAATTGAGCTAAAAATTGGCGTCGATTAGGAAATCCACAATCCACCAAAAAATATTTACCTAATTACATATGCAATATATATAATATTAGTATAATAATAATTATAATTATAATCATAGTAAAAAAAAAATAATTGTTGAGTCATAAAAGGAGGAGGGATAAGAGTATCAAACTTAAGAGAAGGAGAGAGATCGCAGTTTTTATACTGAGAGGGTTCTTCCCCAACTAAGATCCATTTTCATCTCATTCTAGTCACAGAAACCCTAACAAATTCATCTTTTATATATATATATATTGTAGAGATTATGATATCAATTTCATCTTTCACATTTTTCTTTTCTTGACGTGTGTTATAAAAAAAATTACCACTTAAAAGTTGAAATTTCAAGCATTTTTTTGTGTTATATAAAAGGAACAAATTCAACTACATATAATAAATAAAGTAAGTCAATTAAAAAGAACGAACAGAAAAATAGAGCAAGTCAATGACACTATCATTTACATATCAGAGTTTCACAAAATAGGGGAATGGGATGAGAACAGTATTACAATATTATATATGAGCAATGAACAATAGTGTAGTATTATTAGCACAGAAAAAATGGAGAAGATAAAAGCAAAGGAAAAAAAATGAAAAACTCTCTTGAAAATTCTTGAAAAGTCACTTCAAACAATCATTCAAAATCCGATGGGTTTGGATGGGATTGTTTTATGAATTTGGTATTTATAGATAACACTAGAAAGTCCTTCAATATCCCTCTCACACAACAATCCTTTAAAATTCTTATATTTTGAATACCAATAGATTGTTTTTAAGTTGTAAAAAATCTCAAATGAATACCAATGGATTTTAATGGACTCTTTAAAAAATCTTGAAAATCCAGATTGAATACCACTGGATTGTTTTTAAGTGACATAAAATCCTGATTGAATACCAATGGACTTTTTTACTCAAAAAAAGTTCTTTTAAAATCCTACGAAATCCTAAACCAATACACCCCCTTAATTTTTATTAAAATGATTTCTCTTACAAATTTTGATACTATTTTATCTTGACACTAATATATCTTGAACAATCATTAAGAATAAAGATACACTAAGATAATCAATAATCATAATAATTAAGATTGATGAATTCTCTATAAAGAGATTCTTATGACAATATCATAAAAAATATAACGATGTAAGAGATGTGTGATGATATAATACCCTACCTTAAAAGTTATAACTTTATAAAGTTGAAAATAATAACTCATAAGAGACCTTCAGAATAAAATATTGAGTAGTAAAGAAAACAACAATTAAAATAGACATTATATTAAAATTTCAACTTGACTAAACAATTTTGATAACTATTCCAATATCTTTCTTGATACAAAATTTCATCCAATTTGAATAGAAAAGTGTCCATCGATATATTGAGCAACAGTGGATATTATTATAATTGTAATTACATTATTTATATTGTATTTCTCATAAGACTATTAATTTGATATTATTTTACGATAAACTTGTTGAATTTATTGTTACGTTGATAACACTTAATTGATATAGGTACCTACGTAATAAAAATTAATTTTTGTTGTGTTTGTAAAATGGTCACCTCCCATTTGTTTCAATTTACAATACACAACGATAACTACTTATTTTAATTAATATTATATAAGGAAAATTAGTTTTCGTTTTGTATTATAGATAAAAAAATATGACGAAAATTTGTTTCCAGGTTTAGTTAACTTTTTCTTCTCTTTATATTTTCATAAACTTTATTTTTTTTCATATACTTAACAATTTTTTATTTTGATTATTATACATATTATTTTTTTTAACTTCAATTGATGCATAAATTTTCATTCTTGGTCCTATTTTATAGTTATATAAACTTTTTTTTCTTCTTAATTTTTATAAAAATAGACAAAAAAAATTAAAAGGAAAGAAAAATAATATGTGTAAAAACTAAAATGAAATGATTTTAATGATAAAAACTAAAAAATAAAGTTTATGAAATTATAAGAATCAAGAGAGTAATTAAACCTTATTTATATATCGATAAAAAACTAATTTTATATAATTAAGAGCTAGTTTTATATAATTAAAGAGTATTTTGACTTTTGAGAATCTCTTTAAATATAAGTTAGAAGTTTTTTTTAAATTTTTTCAACTGAAAATAATAAATATTTTTTAATAAATATTTTTTCAAAAACATTTATAAATTTGGATCCAAGCAAACTTAATTTTATATTAGAAAAGTATTTTTTGTTAAAAGAATAGGGGCAGTGGGAAGAGTGAAATATAGAGGGTGCAACTAGCAGCTTCCATTTTGATGATGAGTTTGGACTAGCCCTAACCCAACTTGAATGGGCTTTATTGGGCGGACACATTAGAGGAAGAGGGTATAGTTGAGCACACAAATGGTGGTGTGATAAATCTATCGTATCGCAAGCAAAGGG